CATAGCATTTTAGGTTAATTTGATTAAATTTCATCACAAATTCTTCATTTTTATTGAATAGGATCTCAACAAACCCTAGTTTTATTGATGGTAGATTCATTGAGTTTCAATCAATTGGGAGACAATTTTCCCTTTCCCTGAGTAATTTAATACCTTGATATCTTCCTAGCATCAAGACGGTAGCCATGGGATTTGTTCCTGGTGATTCTGTGAAAGTTGAACTATCTATTACTCTTAATCCCTTAACCCCAGAAACCCTGTATTCATGATCAACAACCGATCCAACTATACAACCTCCGTGATTATGATAAAAAGTTTTCACATTCTGCTTGCAGAATTGTCTTAGCTGATTGGAACTAGAGTTCAAGTTACTTTGACTGTGGTGGCCTAAGAACACAGTAACGGATTCCGATCCTGCTACTCGCCTGAGTAATTGAACCATGTTTACACATTGTTCCAAGTCTTCCTCCTCAGCTAGATAATTGAATGTCACAAAAGGGTTTCTCCTGGGGTCTGTACTGTTTAGTTTGAGCTTCCCTTTGGATACTGGCAATGCAATCTTGGCCGCGATTCGATTCCCTGTTGAGTTGAAGCTGGTCCAGACGACGACTCCTTCAATGAAGAATTTGAAATCGTTTGCTATGCCTGCAACTTGAGGGGGCTCTCCTTGTTGGATCTGTGGCGAGGTGTCAAACACAACTGCAATGCTGGGGTTGTCTTGTATTCCTTCTCCAACACCCTCAAGATCCAATACAACTGGGATGTCAAAGTTCTTCAGATCTCTACCAGGTCCAATTCCACTTAATAATAGGATTTGAGGGCTGCCTAATGCCCCTGCTGAGAGAATGACATCACCAGAGGAACCCAAATTCTTGGCTTCATTGAGGTAAGCTTCATAGGTTTGGTTTGTGCTGCCATCGCTCTTGATGAACCTGATTCCGTGGGCTCTTGTCTCATTTGCCTTACTGTTGTTATGGAAGATGATATTCTTTACTGTTGCATTCAAAAGAACAGTGATGTTTTTGGGATTCCCTGCCCC